GGAAATTTATATCATAAAACTTTCAAATGTAGGAATTTGACATCAGCTTGTGAAACTAATGAGACTGCTGGTAAGAAACTAGTCCTTAGTGTTTCATAGTGCAATATGAACAACAGTAAACTATGCAAACACTATTAAAAGTAATATAAAAGAGGTACTGCTAAGAAAAATGTAGAAACCAGTTTTGCTATTTTTAATTATGTGTCTTGTATATTAAGATTACATTTAAAACATATATTTGCCCTTTATATATAAAGGTTCCATTTTCCTACATAATAGACTAGCCTTTAATTAACAGAGTTGGGGTTTTTGTGGTTAATTGTTACTTTGCTATTCAAAATAAAAATCACCTTTTTGTAATTGTGTTTTATCTGTTATTAACTGATTAGCACAAAACTAGTTTTATCAATAATAAAAATGGTCCTGACTGGTGTGAAATGTACACAAGATGTGATGAAAAGTTTTTGTTAAAAACTAATTATAAAATTATGGAAGCACATTCATTACGAGTGCAATTATGTCATAATTACAAAACAGCACAATTTATCTAAAACGTACATTATCATTATCGTGCAGTTTTAAACAGTGGAATCAATTGCACATCACACTTGTTCATTTCTGGATCAGTGTGAGTGTCCTCATGGTTTAAACTGTGTTTACATGAGGTACCAAGTGTAAAAGCATTTAATTGTGAAAATAAGTCTGTGAGCATTTTGCAATGTTGCACATTGCCAGGAATACTAAACCCACGGTTTCAGCAAAGCTGAAAATTCATCTGGTGTATGTTAATGAGGGCTTGGTGACATAATGTAAAACACAGTGAAATCCTGCTTATACTTACCATGACAAAACCAAATAGTACTTCACCTCCACTAAACTCATGAACACACACTCCTTTACTAAACTCATGAACTCACTCACTCCTTCACTAAACTCATGAACTCACTCACCCCTTCTCCTCTCTGAGCTCTTTACTCCAGCGGCACTCAACAGATTTTCTCCCCAACAATTAACAGAAGACACAGACACACAAGTGTCCTGTGTTTAAACACAGTGTCTCCCCCACTTCTTCAGGTCCAAACAACCACAGATTTTCTTGTCTGAGGCAAGCAGAGTTCTGTAGCACCATCAGTACAAGACTCACATGTTCCTAATCAGGTCTTTCCCTGAGAAAACAGGCAATCAGATTGCTATGTGATTGTGTAAAACTGAATTTGCATCAGTTCTAGTTAGGTACGGTATAGTTTTAAACATATGCCTTTGTATTTTAACAACACACGTAATCTACTAGCAGTAATTTGATTGAGCTGAACATGGGGTCTCAGCAACTCCATTATCACAGTAGGCATTTGCTGCAAACAATAAAGAAAAGCTGATTATGGGACATGTCACAGGTCACCCGTTCATCAAATCTGTGTGCAAAAGCAGAGACTGTAGTCTAACCTCATTCCAAGCAAGGGTGGTATCACAAGGTAAAAATGACAATTATTGCCCTTGAGGAGGACTGTGGTCTTGCTTAAAACTAGTGCTTTTTCCACCTCTTCAGGGCTGTTCGTGACTGTGGGAGATCATGAACGGAGTAGAAAAGAGATCCTGTACGACTATTCACTTTCAGGAGCTGTTGTTTTGAACAAATTTGTGAAATCATTTACTCGAAGGATAGCCAAGAGAAGCATACTGGGGGGAGAGTCTGATTGCTGCCAGCTCGGACACCTGCTGCCCCCGGCACACTTGCAACACGCGTGTTTGGTCGTTCCTTTGAGCGTATCCTTAAAGTCTTTTTTTCCTTTTCTGTTGACACATTTGGTAAATCCAAAGGAAGATGCAGAAAAATCACAGGATACTCAGCAGAAAACTGTATAAGCCATCAAATGTTGTTTGGATTACTTCCATGTTTGCTGTTCTATCATTTTAACTGGGTATTACTGAGTTCCTTGCTCACGATAAATAAAGACAAAATAAAAAGCTGAACCCTAACTGTGTACTAACTGGATTCTACCCAAAAGGAGGTGTCTGTGGAATGGGTCTCAGATTGACAATTCGTCTCCCAAAATGTGACAAACAGGGCTATTGTCACATCTTGACATGAACTTTCAAGTGTCAAAATTGTTTGAAATTGACATCAAAGATAAGACAGTCTACTTCTGTCCAGAAAACCTCTAACTCAACTCAAATCCCACCCGCTCTTTGTCCTATTTTTAGCGACTTTGATTATGAATTTGTATCAGTTTTTTGTTTAAATGGTTTATATTAACACTCTTTCCAGGTCTATACTTTTTAGGATTAGAAGTCACTTATGAAACCTGCCAGGAGTGAAAAATCACAGCCAGCACCTCTTCAAACACATCACTTTTTCTGTTTGTAGTGATGCTGAATCTTGTATTTAGGTTTTTATTTTTTGTAACAAATGTTAGCTTTCACTCAGGAGTATTTTCACAAAAAGGATCTGGGTTTTGAGATCCTGGTGAACAATGCCCCTCTCACGCTGGAAAGAACACGATTATTCTTTCCAATTCGATTTTTCTTCTTTCTTGGAATAAAAGATAAACGTTATAGTTGCGGTTAGTGTCACTATGGGACTGTAAACAATTTCACACAAGACAAATAGAAAAACTCAATAAGAAATAATTATCCAAAATTAGGAAACTGAGCATCAAATTGTCTGTTATGACACTGCAAGTCTCAGAGTGCAAGCAAGGTCAGGGTGAGATCCTGTACTGCAATACTTCAGTTTAAGCATGCCATTTAAGCATGCCTCCAGTTTTAACAGTAGGTGGCGCCAAAGCTACACATTTGAATCTTTTCCTCACAGTATCTAACAGGTACTGTCGCTTGGTTTGAAGCTGCTTTTCAACTGAAAATAACCCTCAACACATAACCAGATTAAAATTCAATTGCTTTCCATGGAAAAGGAGAGGATGTTGTTCTTGTGAGTGCTTGACCTCGAAACCTGCAGAACTGTGGGATGGGCTCTAGAAAAATGAAAGAAATGCAAGACAGTTTGTGGTAGTACTGGGGCCTGACTTCTGTTCCTGGGGTGCTATTGGTGTAGAGTCTTATGTTCTCTTTGGGTAAGTGTGGGTTTCCTCTGCGTGTTGTGGTTTCCTTCCCATGCGTGGAAGACATTGATAGGTTATGTTAATGTCTTCTGGGAAAATTGTCCCTATCGTGTATGTGTGCGCTTATGTCTGCTCTGCACTGGACTGGTGTCCTGTCTGGGGTGTACCCTGCCTAGCGCCCACTACTCCAGAGCCCCTGTGACCTCGCATTAGATAAGGCAGTTAGAAAATGGATGGTGGTGAGGATGGCAAATTGAAGGCAAAACATTTGTAAACGTGTGTGACATAGTAGACTGTACTCAGCATTCAAAATTATGATGCTTACAATGTTTGATGGTAAATGATTCAAGCAGAACAAAATTTCCTGTTTTGCATTTTCACAACACAAGAGGGTTTAAGAAAAATAAGAGCTTACAATTAGGAGGAAGCCCTTGAATCCATTGTTGGTCAATAGGACAGCATCTTCCAACAGTGGGAATATTATCTGACACAGGTATGCCAGTCTTACAAAGGCAGTATCTGCTCTAAAGCAACACCAGATAAGCAGAGAGAAGCTGGTAAACTGGCAAGACGCTTGGTTTGAGTGGACCAGGTAATAAAGAGCTGATCAGGGAAGAACACCTACAGAGACTCCGACCCTCCGGCACTGGGCCTGGACCATCTTGACACATCGCAGATAAGCAAACAGCCATGGCTCATGGCTCATGGCTCATGGCTCATGGCTCAGGCAGACGCAGCCTGAATCAGAGTGGCAGAAGACCACATTTTAGCTCTCCTCTGGTGCCCAGATTACAGCCTGTGTCTCAAAGCAGTGACTTCTCTGGACTGGCTACACACATTCATCTAAGAAAAAACAACGGGGATATGCGGATATACAGCATGGTGTTCAGCAGCTGCATGACAATTTGACTGTTCACAAGACCAAGGTGGCAGAGTCTGCCTATTCATTCTATTCACACTGTCACTAGTGTGGTTTTCAACGGTTACATTACCGACCCTACAGCCTAGATCAGGAACAGGAAACCTTAGCCCTTGTATTTCAGTTTAAGTGTTTGTTCCAACTAATTCTTAACTTCTAAAGTGATCTTTAATTGTTCAATTAACCTAGGTGCTGAAGAGTAATTTAAGTTCAATAACACTATGGAATAGAAGAGCAGAGACTGTCTACCCCTGGGTAGACAGCCCCTAGTGACTATTATTTACTCCTTTGCCTTTGGTTTGTGCTGCACAGCACGCAGTTGCAAGGCTATTAATTTGCATAATGTCTGGCACCGATGAGATGTTAAAGGAGCAATCAAAAGAGGACTGTGATTAGGGAATTGGTAGCTCACAACTGTGTTAGTATATTCAGAAGAAGAATAGCAAAATGGAAAAATAAAGTCAATAAATTATTTCTTGGAAGAGTTTAAAGAGATGCTGTACTCCATATGACCTGTTTATGTGAATTCTACATGGTATGCTGCATATCGCTGTATTCAAGTGTATATTTGAGATTTGTCTCGCTTATTAAAATACTATGTTCATGGTTTGACTTCAATGCTCATGTCTAATTGTGCGTTTTCTATATTGCTAAGGATTATGGTGATATAAAATGGTTCTAACAACGAATGTACACACCTAAATGTGATTAAACAGATTAAATTCACTGACTTGGGGAATGGTGCATTTTTCTGCAAAAAAACAAATCTCACAATCTCTTAACAATAAAGATACACATACATACTGCATATCTGGATGCCAATAAATCACAAAGGCTTATTTTTCCCTGTACTATGACAGTTTCAAGTTTTAAAATTCAAGAGGATAAAACAGAGAAAAATACTAAGCAAAGTTGATAAATTAAATGTAAAACATGCAAATAGCTTGGAAATTAAAATAATTCGAAAATTATTTCAAATTAAAGAAAGATTATGACAAAGAAAACCAATGATTCAGACAATAACCAGGTTACAATAATTTATTTTTTTTACTATACATCACTATTACATCATAGCCTGATGATACCATTTTAAGATTTTGTATTGACTCCACAAGGACAATAATACTGTTGTGGAAGACCAAAAAAGGGAAGAAAGCTGCTGTTAAGTTTATTTACAACTGTAAATTCTCTATCAGTTTGTAAACATTCAGTCTACATACTAAAAGTCACAGAACTAAATGCAAAACATTGAAGGGAAATAACGATGCCCTGTATTTGTTTCTTCAACATTCAGAATAACTTTTAATACAGAACATTACATTTGCCCTTTTTGTACTGTAGCAGCAAGCTTTCTAAAAACAATTAACATCTTTATGATCTAAACAAATTACTGTACATCTACTTCTAATTATGCTTAAGAACCTGGCTTTCTGCTTTTACATTTCTATAATAAAGTGCTATAAGCAACCCACCAATCCACACTTTATATATATGTATATATAGGAACAAATCTACTATTTTAACATTAATTTACAGGGTAATATACATTATATATTTGTAACAGCTGAAAATATCAGCACAAAAAAAGTCACTGTCACACATATAACAGCAATATATATATATTTTTTTCATGTAAAACAAACAATATCTCAGGCTTTTCTACCGATATGCAGAAAAGCCCCCATTTTCCAAATCTCTTTAAGAGTTCCTTCTGAAAGAGTGACAGGTTGCAGTGGTCCTGTCAGTATTTCTGAGGTCACATGACAGTAATTTGCATATTCCACAAATCTATTGCAACACATTACTGCCTACGTACAGTGTACACTACTCTTCTTTAGAGCTGGTGTTAGCTGAACTCACACACACCCACTTGACAGAACATCACAACTATGAATATTCAGATACTACCTATGTGCTTGAGGATGTGCTATGATGGTGGATGGCAGGGAGACTATAATACATTAAGTCTACACTTCTTTCAATTGTTGGTATGGAAACTTCACTGTAAAAAAAATGGTCCTTACCGACATATGAATCCTCATAAAACTATTTTTAAACCCTGTCTCAGCGATAAAAGTGAAATTAGTTTATTCTTTTAGATTCGTTTCCAGGCCCACACCAGGAAAATGTGATCTTATCCCAGCTAAATCGTGTTATTACACGCCTTCTATAAATCTAGAAACATGTCTGATACAATCCAGAGCAGTTCAGGTCCCTGGCCTGTCACGGCTATTATTTTTATTTCCAGACCTGTACGACCAGCAACAACACTTACAACAGTGTAAATCCCCTATTCATTCTTAACTCGATGTGACGACCAGCTAGAAAACAAATATTTGGTGACAATCTTCTGTGTTTTCTCTCCATTTCTTTACTTCTGTAGAAGGTTATAAGCTGTATGCAGCTTTAATGTAACAAAATAGTAATTTTAGGAATACCAGTGCACACACTTTAGTTACATACCAAAGCATAAAATATACTTTAATATCTAGCTTGCTGGGAACCTGTGTGGTACCTAGTCAGGTTAGGGACACGACTGTTTTTGGGATAATGTTTTTTTTAATTGTATTTTCCACATTTTCTCATTCAAAAGCCCAGATTTCAATGTCTTGCACATAGAAGTCTTCTTTCTTGGAGAGTGTATGGTTCCCGAACGTTTTGCAGGAGTGACTTCTGCCATGATAGAGATCTCCATCCAACCACAAACCAAATTCTCCCCTACCATCAAAAGCAGAACGAGATGGTTATGAAGTGCAGGAGACGTAAAACTGTACATCTACTCATCTGAAGTCTGCAGAACTGCTGTCATACTCAAGCACTTTTTTTGTTTATTGTTTCGAGAAGCTGACAGTTCTCTGTAGAGGCCAACAGATCATGCAGTAAATATATTGTGAATGATTTTGGTCTACTGAACAATTATGTATTATCAGTTTCAAATTAAAAACCGCCCAAAACATACAAATCTTTTTTCAGATTGAAAAACGTTTGTCTGAGGCACTGATGTCAGCAGAGCTTTTTCAACACTCATACTGAATTTGCAGACCTTCCAGAGCGATTACATAGTATTTCTACTAGTAGTTCAAACAAGGAAAGCAAGTTTAAGAAATGCATCCAGATTTACACTGTGAATCACATTCACATGATTGCACTGAACTGCAGTGCAGCCTTGAAGTAAGACAGCTGAATGTCAAACAAATTTGTCCATTTTGTTGCAAACTTCAGATTAATTCAATTTCACAGAAAACAAAAAGTTGGATTGTGGAGAACAAAGCTCATCACCACATTAAAACCTTCACAAAAGGTACAGTAACTACAGATTACCACAGAGTGTAATACAAAAATGTTCTTAATATGCTGCTGATACTTAAACAAGGAAAAAATCACCAGAACAAGTTACTTACCCCCCTCCTCCAAAAGCTAAAGAGTCCATATCTCCCTTTATAAAGAACATGTTGTCTCCTGTCCATTTGAATACCTGTAAAGAAACCCATATTTGAACAGAACCGAAACACATCTTGTTCTGCATTATACAATTATATACCTTTATATGCTTATATCAAATAATTCATACATAAAAATATCACAATTAAATGTTTTAATGTAAATTCAACAAAGTACAAACCAGTCAGCCTGGATGGAAACAAATGACTTATAACTGCAATAGTCAGCACTAACAGTACACACTTCTGATGGAAGGAAGTACAGCTACATTTTATTGTGCTTGTGTAGAAACTATAATGGTAAGGCAGGGTGGGTTTGACTGCCTCTCTTTCCTTCTTCTCTACTGGATTTTCAGTCCTTTGTGGTCTGTTCTTTTTTTAGTTCTCAAGATTTATCAAAACTAAAATGAGCCTGTGTTTTCTTACACATTTCAAACAATTGGAGAAGGGCTGTAAAGAGGTCATATGATAAGGTATGTATAACAATACAGGAAATCTTAATACTACAATATATATGGGATCTGTAAAAAGCCACAATGATCTCAAACGTCACCTGGCAGTAACTTGCCTAACAGTTTTTGTTTGGTTAAATGCTGTGGGACTCAGACAATCAAAAGCTTGGCAGAGCTCAGTAACCCTCTGGTCTTCCAACCCTTAGCGTAGGGCTGTCTGGCCTGCTGGCCACTGGTGTGACTCAGTTGTGGTCAGAGCCTTTTTGACAAGGCTCTGGGTGATGTTACTGTATCAGTGTGCCAATCACACACGCCCTGCTGGTCTCTACCTGGACTAAATGGCTTTGTCTCATTTATAAATGTAAGGTTTCATGTTCTCCACCTACGTCCAATTGTGTGGTGCTGCTGTTTGATGATGTCACAGATCTAACTTGATAACGGCATCTTTATATGAACACAGCGTTGAGGAAATAAACGGACACTGCAAGACCACGCTATCTCCAAAACTCCTTCTCCAAACCGGGCAGCAATATCAGCAGCTGAACTATCATTGGTCGAACTGAAGCTGTACCCTATGTTTACTACCTCAAAAGGGAGATTTGTGAACATACTGGACAAAATACTGTACATCAACGAAAAGAACAGCTGACATGACTGATTTGTACAACAGGCAGTAGTTGTAAAACAGGTATAGCAATAGGTGCATGTATGTATCTGATGTCTAGTCAATATTATTCTACGTTTTTGAGTGATGTCCCTCTAACCATGCGTCTTGCTGAATTGGTCTCCCAATTAATTAACAGAGTTTGTGTTCTTCTGAACCAAGGTGAACTGTGTCTCATTCATCATCACACGTGTGTTGATAATGTGTTAGTTTACCAGGCTCTCAAGCAGACTCATACCAATGACTAATCCCAGAGCCTGCATCTATAATGAAAAATTCTAAAAAACGTGCAGCGGCTCATTATTCAATTCAATACGTGTATACAGTACATATCTACCCATCCCCTCAGCTTGTGAAGATAAATCTTTGCCCACTGTTTACAAGTTAAAGCTAACAACTCTTAAAATTTATTTTCAACATAACAGGTTTATATAGCGTACAATAATTATACTTTTATAAGTACACATTTATAGTATAGTTACAATTAATTATAACTTTTATTTTTATTTTAAACTAATGGTTAATAAGGGTAAAAACATACTCAGAGGATAATGAGTACATTTTGCTGAATCCTATTGACTGCTACTTGCAGTTCAACAAGAGCTATTTCGTTGTAAAATAAATACCAAAAATGCAAAACACTGCAAATAGTAAAAAAGGCACAAAGGCGTTGCCTTGATAAACTGGTCATTTTGGTTCTTTTCTGGTACACAAGACTTGACACTTAACAGGTTCAATCACTTAATCTCATGTGCCCAGTCAACTTACACTACAATAAGGTGATGTAAGGCTTATGCAACAAAGTCATTCAAACAAATCACCGCCATGCACAGTCATTTAATCAAAAAGATGCAAAAAACAGTTGAGCAATATCCAAAATATACATACTTTTTTGTTTTCAATTGTACACACGTGAATAGTGATTTCTTTTGATGCTCAGTATGTAACATTCTTCAAACAGGCTGTCACTCAAATTATGAGGTGAAGTATTCCATTTCAAAGTTCTCTGTACACCTACCTCAAATTCAGGGCAAAACGTAAACAAAAATGTTTCGCCAGTCCCATAAAAACAGTCACTAACTTTGAAGGGATCAGATGCTAAAGCACCGAATATCTAGAGAAAAAAAACATTTTTCATTAATTTATAGTTACTCATGCAAATGCATCAAACAATTCTTTCATAAATTTTACTGAGGTCTCCTTTATTATAAATGTAGAACATTGCAATAGCTATATGGTATACGATATAATATATAATAGGTTTTAGCATGATTTTGACTTACAATATTTGATTCTGTCTTATCAAAAATGATAGTGGGGGAAAAAAAAACATTCTATGTTTTATGTATAAAAATCCTTGAATAACTCACACCGCTCAAAAACCTGGAAAAAGTATAAGGATAAAAGAGAAACACATGAAAGGTCTTTTAAGGATATCATCTCATATCACCTACAGTTTTTCTACAGATCTTTTAGTCATCTGATTTTTAGTCTAGTATTTTATTTTATTGCAAATTGTACAACTTTGTAATGAAATGTGCATGGAAATTAAACGTAAGAATTTATAAAGAAATTGACTTTTTGGGAAACCACATGTGTGATGTTCACGAAATACAGCACAAGCAGTCCCTAGCCTATACAGGTTGTTCTGAGCTATCTCTACAATACCCATTGCAAAATAATGAAAGTCCATAAATTACCAACCAAAGAAAACCACAAGCGCGACACGACAGTCTATAGTATGTAATGGCAAGGATAACCGTGTCATTCATGGGTGTCATGTCATGTCAGCGACAGTATCTGATGGCTTGGAACAACATATTATTATTCCATTAACATATTGTAGCACAAAGCCCTTATGGTTTTCCAAGGGAACAATTAAAACTGCTCAGTTCCTCAATTTGGTGGTTCACCTTTCTACTTTTCAAGGCAGTCTTCTTAACCAATTTGTTGAAATGCTAAATCTAAAACAGTTCACTGAATGTGATACACCGACTATAATTACATAATTAAGATCTAATTAATTATTGTATCATTACAATTACACTGTTCTAGATACATTTTTGTTGTGGAGTTACAGTTTAAGGACTGAGGGGTTGCCTAGCTTTAGTAATAGGATGGTCTTCAGAGTATGCTGCAATAGTGCTAATGAGAGATGTATGGGGAGTGAATGCTAACACTGGCGAGCTATAGTAAAGCTGTAGCTGTAAATGCTCTGTATGGCCTGTAAAAAAACCTCAGGTAAAGAAATATGATGAGTGCATAATATTTGTGATCCCTGAGGTCTATTATCTGCAATCAGATTAGTTTTCTGCTGGGGGTTTCAAACCTTATGAAAAGGCACCTTAGATTCACTGTTATCCAAACAGCTTAACTGCAAGCATAACAATATGGTTTCCAAAAATGTATTTATGACTCATTCAAAAATGTATTCTGTATTATTCACTGGGTGCCTTTGACATTAGCTGCACAAAATAAATTTCATTTGTATGATAAAGGTATTGTTTAAAATGCAAGAACAACAATACTAGTTCCCACTGGACAAATTCTACTTCTAGAATGAATGAAATCCTTACCTGTCCATCACTATCTTTTATCACCATCAGCACTGGGGTGTCCTGGCCTGCCATTGTACGGTACAGAGTCTTGATGCTCATGCCATGCTTCGCAGTGCTAAAAGCAAGCGTCCATGGGTAACCAATTGTTCTGGGTGGAAGATGTTTTGCAAGCTGAAATGTAAGAATGCTAAGGTTAAGAAATATTACCTTGTTCAGAATCTTCTCTTTCCAAGGTTATTTACGCCTATACAGGTAGATACCTGTACACTCACACAAAAATATATTCTGTACTACTCACCATCATGCCTTTGATGTTAGGGGTGTGACCGTTACTGTGCATACAATTGTTTTAAATGCAAGAATGTTTCGAAAAAGCAATTTTTGCCACTAAACTTTAAACTTCCAAAAGCAGGTGTTATACACATAAAAGACTCATGCACTGTATGGAAATGTATTACTGGACTACACAACTTTAACTGTTTCTTTTTGTAATTCTATGGGATTCCTTGGAATTCAATAAAGTTATCACATAATACACAGCTTGTGAAAATCCAGTGCCACTTGCACAGTTCTACAATAAAAATACCAACTTTTATAATCAAGGTAACCAATACTGAATGCATTTTATCAAACCTCTTTTGAATAAACTTCAGTTTCTTAATTACAGAGCATTTCACCTACCAAACATTCAATTTGATTAAGTCCACAGAAAGCAATGAACGAATATTTTGATAAAATGGCAATCCACTTTCCACAAGAAACATACTGTAATAAAACATGCAGAAAACAGCAGGCATGAAAAGAATATGGAAGAAATCATGCTGACCTTCTCAATCTGCTCTGGCTGAAGGAGGTCACTGGGCTCACTGAGATTCGGTCTGAAAGTGTCTGGTTCCAAGTCTGTTTTGATGGATGTACCTTGTGTTGAATTGACTTCTTCCTTTGTAGTGATCTAATAAGATAAAAGCAAATACATTTTCAGCACACTATTAAAAATATATGAGAACTATTAAAGGCAGGTTGGAAATACAAGTAAAGATTGTTTGTGCATGGGCAAAAAATGGCATTTCTGGAGTGTAAATTTGCTCTAAAAAGTCACTTTCAACTCTGAAGCTTAAAAGGTAGATTTGATGAATGCCATGAATTCAAAACAAAAAAACAAGGTTTTTCACACACAGACTGGGGTATTGCCCACCAAAGACTTTCAAATGCTACCAAAGGTTAATTTTTTTTCCGCAAAATTTCCAACAATTTTCCAGAATACAACTGAAGCATAGAAGTGGTAATCCTGTGGCAGCACTATTGTTTAGCAGATCCAGAACAGGAAAGATGGTTCTATAAACAAAAGCAAATCTCCAAGTGTTTGAATGACATGAGAATCTAATGCATACAAAAGTCTCCGAAAGTAACTCCAAACAACTTCCAATACATACAGTATAACAATATACCAGTATTGTAATTACTACTCTATGTATAGCAATATTTATTTTATGAATTGCACTTGGATATTTGCATTGCTACCATGCATATTCTGGTCTTTAAATTATACGTTTAGTGCAACCAAAACCATTCTGATCCTGTTGTTAGTACACTGTGGATATTAGCTGAAGTAAGCAGGAAATTTCAGGTGAACCCATTGTATTATCGGCTATACCGAAAAAGCTTGCAAAATATATATTTTTTTAATGTGATTTTCTGTGGTTTCAGGAATTGCTGTTTTTTTCCTAAGGCCCAAGCAAAATGCATTGCGCATCAGCAATGACTGCTTGGATGCACTCAAGTTACTTGATCCTCCCTGAATTACCTGCATTGTCTTCAGCAAACAAACCCACAAGGCCAAAACAAAACACTTCTGCTCCCCCCCTCACTTCCGAGACGAAAACGAACTGTGAAAGGCAGCTAGCTCCTCATCGCCACAGAAGCTGCTGTAATGTGAGGACAGTTTGTGAGGCGTCACTAAGGAGGCTAACAGAAAATTCCTCATTTGTCTGGAATAACACCATAAAACCCAGATAATGTTTTAACCCCACCAGTGCCTTGGGTTGATGTAATTATTTGTTCTGGACACAAAACTGACTGATGAAGAAACCCAAATAACAGAGTGTGTATGCATGTGGGAGTGTGACGTGTCGCTCATGAAGACAGACAATGTCCAGTCTGAGATATTGTGCATTGTTAGGGTTAAAAGTTTTCCAAACTTTGCAGAAAAAAAATCACAACACATTCACAAACCTCAAAAAATGATGGAATTTTCTGCTGGAGCTCTATTTTGTGGAGAGAAGCAGCTGTTGACAAACCCACCGAGTGTGGGACTTGTCCCAGTCAAAAACACTACAACACTGGAGACAAACTACGGTCTCTGGTGAAAGGGTTTTAACTACTGAAGGGGGCACCTTGAGACGTCTGCAGAGAGAGCGCAGATCTTCAGTGTTTAGAGCATCGATCCTGCGGTGATACTCAGCCACTGACACTACCTGAATACAGAGACAGGGAGAGAATGATTCTGCTGACAACGGAGGAATGGGAGGCAGGACAGCAGTGGAAAAACAGAACACAGTACAGGGAACTGGCAGTACAGTGCGGAGGGAATGCAGCTTCTCAGTAATTTGGTTAATGATTTCATCCTAAGCGACTTGCTTTTGCAACTATTTATTCAGCATTTTACCGAAGTACCCTGCTCGAGGGACAAAACAACAGCACCTCAGCCGCGATTTGGGACTCCCAAGTCCTAACCACTCCTCCATACTGACACCGAAATTAACGACTTCCACATCGGGATCTGAATCAAAACTGTGGATTTCACTGTTAGCAAAAAGCTGTGCAGCATTCAGCAGTTTTACCTAATGGACTTGTTTGGTCGACCAGGCTTTCTGTAAGGTGATAAATAAATCCACTTTAACATAATTTATCCCATTTATATTGTCAAGAAACAAATTACTTCCTGTTAAAAAGAATCACATTTATTTCAGTTCATCTCATTACATGAGTTGGTGCTTTTACTAGTGCCATAACTAGGAAGAATTTCCTTGATGTCACATTTGGCAACAGCTTCAAATTATTCTTATTGACTATGAGGCACACTGGATCTGATCGCTCATCTGAAAAGTTATGCATCTAGTGCATTGTAAATCCCTCATGTCACTGCAGTATGGATATACTGACACTGAATACTGAACTTGTGCTTAAGTGTCGAGAGCACAAAGGTGCTCAAGCAGTGAAGAAGATGCTACAGTACATAATGCCAGAAGCTCAAAGCAAGGCATCACTGAGTGCATCCAATATTAAAGATCCTAAAACAGCTAAAAGAGCTTCTGTAGTCCTTCCTATGTGCAAAAGTAACATTAATAAGTGTTAAAGCCATAATGCGTGGTCTTTGAAAGCTATAAAATGCAATTTGCTTATTATTTTGTATCATTTTCTAAACTTTAAAAATAAAGTATATTGTTTATAGAATCCAAAGTTCATAAAGAGTATGGATTAAATGTTAGTCACTTGTCAAAATATTTCTTGTTTTGATATGCTTACCATTCTAATTCAACCAGTGACTTGATCTATAATATTGTATTCCTTCACTTTGCAGTTAAAGCTGATTATGATTGGCTAGAAACAGTACTTTCCATTCTTGTTGCATGTAACACAGAAGGAACGCATGTTTTCATAAGTGTCTGAATTTTCAAAGTGCCTAAAATGCACTACAACTCAAATGAAACCAAACCCACTTTGACTGTAAAACACACCCACACTCATATGACAAATATGTAACAAGAAATGTTAAGGCTCCTTCATTTTCACATGACAATGATGCACATTAACAGCAGAAGCAGAATCGGATCTGGCGTGCAACAGCCCTAACGCCACTCCAACATCTTTACAAAGAAAACCTCAGTCATGTCATGTCGCATCGTACTGCCACGTGTATACAACACCTTCACGACTGAAAAGTGGCCAAAACGTTGCGTAAGGAAAATCAGCTTAATTTAAAGGATCTGTATCGTAAGATCCCTCTACCAGATAAACATTGTCACATGTTCTGAACCAATCAGTTAAATGCAAATTAATGCAAAATGTTTCATCAACTAGTACATTCCAATTGCAAATAAATAAGCAAATAATTACATGTGTTCCATGAATGCGACAGTAGCACGATTGTCCAAATGCTTCCGAGGACATTAGGATGAATTTTACCACATTTTAAAACAAAAAGTAGAATACAAAATTTATGCTCTACATGCTTTCTGTCGCTCTTCAAATTTTAAGACCTCCAGTCTCTTCTGGTAAAGTAACCTCTCAAAACTGTTCCACGGCCATGGGAGTACACACCTAGGGGTAGCGAGGAAAGGCAGACCTTCCAAAAAGGCATTACAAGTACTAACTGACACCCGAAGAAGACCCCACAGCCGAAACGTTGTGTTTTCTCTCTTCTCTTTTCAGCATGGAATAAACCTTTACTTACTCCTTTGGAGCCTGCGCATGCTGACGCACCTACCTGAATAATTGAACATTTGACCAATTTAGATGGTCAATTAATTTTGATATCAGAGAATTGCTTTAGCCGATTCAGCATGGAATGACCCAGACGAATCTGCTATGTATTTTGAAAATGGGAAATCTTTGATAACTTTTCAGGACATAACAGAATCCTTTACCCCTTTAATCAACAGGATTGTATCATTGAGCCAAAGAAAGCTATTGTTTCAAGATAGGATCAGCTGACATCAGCATGCTACCCTGGCAAAAAGCCTGTTGTCTACTGTTGCCCACAGATATGGGACAAGAAGAATTCACAGATATTTAGACTGTACAAAAATGTATTGGCAAGATCGTATGCTATATAAAATTCTATTCACAGTACAGTAGATATTTAAACTATTACATGCCTTCAAATGTACTTAAGAGCAGAATACAGTTACACTTTTATGTGACAGTACAAGAGATGTGCTTGATTCCTCTTTACAGTCTAAGCTGGGATAAAATGGTTTCACACCTCTTGTAAGTCAAGTCCCATAAGTTTAGTATGAGAAGGCCTTCCAGTAATTTTCAGAAGGCATTCAGCTGAGCCATGCAATGATTGTATGTATGCAGACAACAATATGATTGGTTAATGCAGGACTAGAGGCTACTGAACAGACAAATTGTACTTAAGTGTGTATAAAACTTTAAGGATATAACTGTGATAAATAAAACAATTTACGGCTAATCACAAAGATCAAGGCTATTCCACAAAGGTTATTTAAAATCTGACTAATGAGGGTCTTACACGGTAACAGAACTAGAGACTTTTTAGGGTAACAACTTTTTTCACATTCTGCAAAACTGTCAATGGTACAACAGCTGCAGGTCTCCTTCTATCTATGATTTAAACATTCTAAGAATGCTGCAAACAGTAGTTTGTAAATAACTACAGAACAAATCAAATAACTTGGAATTTTAGAATAAAAATGGTCCACAGTTTTTAAAACAAGCTACATGGTTAATTTAATTTCCATTATTACACAATGCCATATGTATGGTTATATATATATAAGAAATACAGTAATAAACTGAGGCATACAGTTTATTCAGATAATAGTTATCTGAAAACCATGTAACAAAAATAAGTTGAAGGATAGTGCAAAATAGAGTATCTATAACTTTGGTACATTGGTAATGTAATTTGCACAACCCTAGCACTGGTTTTCAGACAGGTACAACCAATTTCCATACATCTTAACAACTATAATAAAAATATAAGCAAAATACCAGTTGTAGAGCACTGTCATAGTATATGAAAGTTTAATGATAAATGTCATGGACCACACAGGTCATCGTCACCTTCCAGTCTGGTCTAGTCAGTACTCAGAAGCTATGCAAGGTTGGGTCTGGTCAGTATTGGGGAACAACTTAAGAAAATCAGGATGCTAATGTAGTTTGTATTGGAGGACCAGTCGGTGGCACTCTTCAGTGGAATTGGACCAGAATGTCCCAGCATGGTGATCAGGAACTTTGTGCTGTAGCAGATGCCATTCTTTGGATGAGATTTGTCAAATCGAGGTCCCAAACACTGATCGGTAAAGTTAAAGTGGAATTGTTTTTCAACAGCATTAGTGTTATCTCTTGTCCTACAAACTTGGACTTGCAAAATCTGGTCCACCATGATGCAAACCGTAAAGCAATTTCTTGCTTCTCTGCCTGAACTGCAGTCCAGTAGGACTTTGGTGTGTGAGGGGAGCCACACCTCACCCAGGTGGGTCTAGCATTTTAATTAGTGGATGACATGGGTCCCTCTTATGGGAAACAGTGCTTTGTGGTGAAACTCGACATAAACATACGGTAAGTAATTACTCATTTACAGAGAACTTCATAAACAGCTTAACATCATGACAATTACCTGGCTAAACATAACAGCAATGTGGCTCCGGTTTCAGACTGATACTGACTTGATATTGTAAAAAACAAAATAATGATCAAGTCCCCTTTAAATACATGACCAGAGCAACAAATGTAACATAAGGTTCTTTCGACACGTTTACCTAATATAATTTCAAAGAATTCATCTTAATGGAAACAGATTCATATAATTCTAAATGTTTGTGAGCTGATACATTTTTGCAACTTTTCATGTGCTTTTATTAAGACACTATATGAATAAAGCTGTAAAAAGGGTTAAAGCAATGATTTTGTAGATTGTAATGACTAAAGCAAAAACATCAAAGATTTAAATTGCAATTTTATATGACCAGGCTAGCAAGACATCAGTATCTAAGAACTGAAAGATCCTAAAGAGGGATTTCGTAGAAATACATTAAAAAACATTAATTACATATTTAAAATCACAGTAAATAGGGTTAATAAAAAAACATCTATTTTACTCAATTGTCTGGAAAGGTGGTGGGCTAGGAACTTTCAGTGATAAATATTGTAATTTATACATTTTATAATATGAGGGTTTTAAAATCTGACAGAAGGATAAACCAGAGTGTAGTTCAGGTTCAGCTAGAGTACTAATAGTTTGTGCTGAATATACTGTATAAGCCAAGTCAAAATATTCTAGGTCAAGGTGGTCTCAGTCTGATTTCTAGGCCACTTTTGAATCAGAACCACTTGAAATATTAAGAGAAGCTGGAAAATTGCCACAATTATGCCTTTCGCTGATATAATGTTTATAATGTTTGTTGGAAAACTAATCATTTTGGACTGAGAGTTGTAACACCAGACTTAACATCCATTCATAAATTCACTCTCATTCATACTCTCTAGCATCAAAATGGCATCAAAATTATTTCCAACCTTAAATGCAGTAATCTACATAAATAGTACAACGACCAGGAAAATCTCGGGACTAACTCTGACAATCGAGGACTAGATATAAAAATGATACGACAGGCAGCCAAAAACAGCACAGCATGCTTTGAGACACTTTCTCTTGGGGAGCACCTATCGACAACGACCAAGCTACGATTCCTTCTTAAAGGCTCAGTATAAAGTAAAGTGTATT